AGCGTGCTTTTTGAGGAGACGCCAACGTCCCGCACGCTGCCTGCAAATGATAGCGAAAGCAGCGGCAGCGGAAGCGATAGTGATGATGAGGACGATGTGGCTAGCAGTAGTTGCAAGACTGCAGCCCCTCCCCGGCAAGGGGAGCAGTTTAGTCCGAGCGAGGCCGTAGAGGATAGTCAAGGGAACGCGGCGATTGGAGATTCAGCTGAGTTGAATGAGGGGGAGCCTATGGTAGTTGGCGCAGCACCTGAGGCACCTGAGGAGGAACCCACGGCTACTGGCGGTGCAGCCGATTCCGCCAAAGGGAAGCCTAAGACTACCAGCGGGACCACTAAGGGGAAACCTAAAGCTGTCGGTAAGGCAGCTGAGGGGGAGGATAAGGCTGGTGCAGCTGCCTCTACACAACATCGTTACCCCCAACGTGACCGTCATCCGCCCCAGCGACTCAACCTTGCTGTTAACGTATCGGACGTCAAAATCCCGAGCACCTACGAGGAAGCGATGGCCTCTCCGGAACGGGACAAATGGCAGGAGGCGATGGCTGAAGAAATCGGATCTATCCACGCATTAGATACGTGGGAGCTGAAGGTACCGCCGCCTGGGGTGAAACCGATTCCGGTGAAGTGGGTGTACGACGTGAAGCGAGGTGTAGACGGACAAGTGGAACGATACAAAGCCCGGCTGGTAGCTAAGGGCTATAAACAGAAGGAAGGAGTTGACTTCAACGAGGTTTTCGCGCCTGGTAGCAATCAGGTGACGTTGCGCACATTCCTGGCGAAGGCTGCGGCTGAAGGATTTGAGGTACACCACCTAGATGTGCGCACTGCGTTCCTCAACGGGACGCTGGAGGAGGTGATTTATTGTGACCAACCGCCTGGTTTTGAAACGGGTGGCGCAGGTATGAAGTGTCTGTTGCGGAAAGCGTTGTATGGTTTACGTCAGGCAGGCAGAGCTTGGCACCAGAAGTTGCGGGAAACGCTGGAGGCTATTGGTTTCAAGGTTTCTGATGCGGATCCCAGCTTCTTTACGCTGGAAGAGCAGTCATTTGTGGTGTGGCTATACGCTCACGTAGACGACTTGCTAGTCGCGAGCAACAAAAG